AAAGTAAATGTTTAGTAAAAGATCTAGCTGGTAAGTAGAAATGTAATATCTTCATACGAGCTATTAGAATTATTATTAGATAATCATATTTAGGGCCAGTAGATATTAGCTCTAAACTTCTTTCCTATTTAGTAGAAATGTAATATCTTCATACTGTTTAATTAATTAACTTCACCTATAGTTTGAGTTCTACAATTATTTCTGTCCAAAGAACACTAAAATACTAGTGCTCTACTACTCCTGTCAACTCAATGCTCTCCTTTGTAAAACAATATAAAGTTATTAACAATTATAGACCCCTTTTCTTAATTTGTTATGGAGTACGAAATGAACACTCTGCCGTGGTGGGCTGTTCACAGGTAAAAATGTGGTCGATAAAAAGGCCACACCACCTTAGAAGTGGAAAACAGTCTAAATAGAAATGCAAAATTCAAATTATTTCAACGACGGTTATTCTGATTTCAAGTGTACCTTCTTTGGTAGGGAATATCTTCCAATGGGAGGAAGCGTTAACATGATTGAGGAATCTCTGAAGTTGGCCTATGGGGAGAGTTCTGACTTGATAAAAGAGAAACGCATTGGAGCCATCCAATCTCTATCTGGAACGGGTGCATGCCGAATATTTGCAGACTTCCAAAAGCGTTTCTGTCCTGATTCACAAGTTTTTATTCCTGTTCCTACTTGGTCAAAGTTAATACAAAGCTTAATACGTTCATTTCTTTTGCTTCCATATGTATTACGGAGTAATTTTTAATTCTTGAAAACAGCAGGATCCAGTTTTGTAGCTATATGTACAAAGCCTAAACTTTAAATTTCTGTAAGTATTGTATTTATTTGGCCTTTGCAGTCACCATAACATTTGGAGAGATGCCAATGTCACTCAAAAGACATATCGTTATTACCATCCAGAATCAAAAGGGTTGGACTTCACTGGCATGTTGGAAGATATAAAGGTACAGTTAAAGGAACCATGGAGTTTATTTATGTATGATGTCTCTCTCTCTCTCTTTTACTGGGCCAATCATGTTTATCCTATCCCTGTAATAATTATAAACATATAATCTTCGATTCTTAATGGATTTTGCTGGTGTATAGAATGCACCAAAAGGATCATTTTTTTTACTCCATGCTTGTGCTCACAATCCTACTGGAGTTGATCCGACCGAAGAGCAATGGAGAGAGATCTCTCACCAGTTCAAGGTAATATGTAAATGCCATTTCTTTCTTTTCCTCATTGTTGTTTGTGTAACTAATTAGCTAATGTTATAACCTTTTGTGTAGAAATAACAATTTCTTTTTCAGGCCAAAGGACATTTTGCCTTCTTTGACATGGCATATCAAGGATTTGCTAGTGGGAACACTGAGAAGGATGCCAGGGCTATCCGTATATTTATAGAGGATGGTCATGCAGTTGGATGTGCCCAGTCGTATGCCAAAAACATGGGACTATATGGACAGAGAGTGGGGTGTTTGAGGTGAGTTTCTCTTTTCGCCTTGAGCTAGACACTCTCCTTCAATATATAGGGTCCCATTTGGTAAGGGTTATTTAGCTGAAATGACTAAATGTGTCGAGATTTTAAGGGGAAAGATGCTTTAAAATCAATTTCAGCCCACCGTTTGTTTGAGACACTTAATCGGATTACTTAGCATATTATGCTAATAGGCAGGGTAAGCCGATTAATGCAAACAGGGCCATATTCTTCTAAGCAAAATTACCAAACGTTTGCAAAATTATATTTTAAAAAATTACTGTATGTTCCCACAGCAAGATGCATTTAGATAAAGCACTTAGAGAAATATCTGGAAAATATTCCTACATGCCTAATTGTTATGATGGTCTTCGACTTTGTATTAATTCCTAATTGGGCTTTTACCCAATGAGCTCATGCCTTGAAGCATGGCAAATGTGAATTACAGCTATTTTGAAGATACCATCAGCCAAATTAAGGAAAATATCATCACATGTTTATCTTATTTCTGTTTCTTATGCAGTGTGGTTTGTGATGATGACAAGCAAGCTGTAGCTGTTAAAAGTCAGTTGCAGCAGCTTGCAAGGCCCATGTATAGTAATCCACCAGTCCATGGTGCTCTCATAGTTGCCACCATCCTTGGTGACCCAATTTTGAAGAAATTGTGGCTTCGGGAAGTAAAGGTATTGTGACAGTACTCAGTAGTCCATTATATGAAATCTGAGCAACCTTTTTCTGCCAGTAACTTGTACTGTTTGACATGAGCTCGTATTATGTGAGTTAAAACCCGTTGACTTGGACTTATTCCAATCATAAACCTCATCAGCTCGTAGTAGACTATCTTTAACAGACCCTGAACCAAACAAAATAGACCATCCTTAAGCGGGTAATGAAATACTTATGATGTCAAACTAGGCCTCATCAGATCATACTAGACTTAAAGGGTCGAGATCGTCGAGATAAAAGATGAGATGACCAGACCAGTAACTTTCTATCTAAATGAGGAGGCCCTAGAATCTTAGACTTTTTGCGATGTGAATTTGTATGTTTTTATAGGGAATGGCAGATCGCATCATAGGAACAAGAGCCGCACTAAGAGAAAGCCTTGAAAAGTTGGGCTCTCCTTTTTCATGGGAGCATATAACCAATCAGGTTCTGAATGTTGCTAGTTCACAGATGCAAAAGTAACAGAGTATGATTAATTTTGATAGCTTGCAATCATGAATATTATATGCCTGCAGATTGGCATGTTTTGCTATAGTGGATTGACACCTGAACAAGTTGACCGCTTGACAAATGAGTTCCATATCTACCTGACCCGAAATGGCCGTATTAGGTATGTTTCACCATATGAGCTTACTCTGATTGGTGAGTGCATTTTAAATTTTAATCAATATCCATCATATGTGACACCACAATGATGATATCATATTATCATACAATCAAGAAGCATATACATACATATATAACAATTAATATGATCAGTAAACTATTTATGGTTCTCTCTATGACATTATATATTAAATATTGCTTTGTTTTATTCAGTATGGCAGGAGTGACTTCAGGAAATGTTGGTTATTTGGCTAATGCAATCCATGAAGTTACCAAATCTGGTTAGGACTCACATTCAACTCTCGTCTTGCCATGCAACTTCAATAAACTTCAATTCAGAGCCTGTAAAAATGCTGGCCTGGTTTTGCGGAATTCTTGTGGCGGACAATTTTTCTTGTCTTTCTATTCTTGATGTTGTTGTTGTAACCATTAATTAATCATTTTTTGAATAAAAGTATTTGTTGTATCCTCAATCATCATTGGTCAGTACAACTAAATTCTAAATTCTGCGGAGTAGCAACATTGAGAACACATGTGAGAATTTATCAACGTGTAGACTTGGGTGAAACCTATTTATGGTAATCTAGCTCACGTTGTTGCAGGCTTCTTCTTTATACAAGGTTAATAAAACCAAGAAAAAAACTAGTTGTACACAAAAAAGTATATACTTTTTGTGTACATCCCTATTTGCCTGTGCAGAGATGAGTATACAAACGTGTACCCAAAGAATTTCTTGGCTCTATAACAAAACCCTCCCATACTTTGCAGTTTGCAAAGAGGGGCAGTGGACTCATCAAGTAGGCATGGACCGGGCCCGGTTCAAGCCGGGCTTTTTTCCAGGATGTTGGGCCCGGAACCAGTCCGGGTTGATACCTGGTCCGGTTCAATGTAATTCTTTTTTGGCTTTGTAATTAACCCCTGACCCCCCTACCTCTCCCCCACCGCCAAAACATCTAGCCCTACCCTAGGAAAAGAAAAAAATTGAAAAAACAATAAAAATGAACCGGGCCCATCCTGGACCGGTTCATGAAAAATAGGGCCCGATCCCAGCCCACCCAAACCGGGCTAAAGCCCGAAACCGCCCATCCCCAACCGGTCCGGGCCGGGCCTGCACAGTAGCGGGCCGGGCTGGTTCCTGGGCCGGTTTAGCCCGGTTGGGTCATCCCTATCAAGAAGTATACAGGAGTTTACTCCTATCATCTAAAGAGTAAAGAAAAGAAATCTAATGCTCTGAACTCACCACGCCTTTGTGTTATTAAGTTGCACACCATTTTAATTTTGATTCTGAAAAATACATACATTATGTCAAAAATGTTTCGTGAGAACTAAAACTAAAACAACGACAACATTCAAGCCTTAATCCTAAAAGAATTTGGGATCGACTAACATGAATCGATCTATGATATTGATGCCAAACAGAGAAGACGGACAGAAAAGAGAAGAATAAAAGTAAGATAAAATCATCATTTTCATTTACCCCAGTGCCGCAAAGGCTCCCACCTACGGTGGGGTAAGGGGGGGTCGGATGTACGCAGTCTTACCCCTGTACTAAAGCACAGAGAGACTGTTTCCGGATGACCCATAGTGAAAATCCCGTCCAAAATTGCATGGACTGACTGCTGCTTCATGACAAAGAAGCGCAAACAGTATAATGAGCCATTTTGCTTTATTCCATCATAATCTCAAGCCAAAAAATAATGAATCTTTGGTTCCATTGCAAATGATGGAAAGAAAAGTAAGATAAAATGAATAAAATAAAGATAAATAAATATAAGATAACAATAACACAAGAATATAAGAAAGATAAAAGAAAAAAATAAAAGAGCATAAAAAAGCTAGAAGATAAAAGTAACATAAGAATATAAAAAGATAAAGAAGATGAACAATAAAAGAAAAAAGAAAGGTAGAAAAGACATCAATCTAGATTTAAATTATTCCATGTATAGGTTTTGTATACATCTAGATTTTATAGATTGTATATGCCTCTTCTTGATTGTATATGTCCCTTGGTTAACCCTATCAAGAGGCATGCAGATTTTGTATGGATTACACCTTTAATTGCATCACACGGACAATGCCCATCACTGTTAAAGGTGACTATTTAGGATGTTCTAAAAAGAAACACATGAACTTTAAATAGAGGGAGATCTAAACTTGTAAATAAGTATCACACAACTGAAATATACAAAAACTTTAGTGCACGAAATTAAGAAGTTAGTGTTTGGTAAAAAAACTTCTCATAAACAAAGGAATTACTAAAAGACACTTGATATATCATCCCTTGTCCAAAACAATGTACAGAACTACAGACACAAAAGTGACACGTTTCTTCAAAAAACGAGCAGTAAGAACAGTGAGAGCCAGTAGAATCAACTTTTAGGTGTGCACAAACGACCAGCCCCCAAGAATTTTGTTCCAAAACACTGTATTTACATTATCATCCAACATTCCTATGGTTTAACATCACATTCATCCTCTTCAGGAACTTATTCATTTTCATTTACCCCGGTGCCGCAAAGGTTCCCACCTACGGTGGGGTACGCAGTCTTACCCCTGTACAAAAGCACAGAGAGACTGTTTCCGGATGACCCATATTGAAAATCTCATCCAAAATTGCATGGATTAACTGTTGCTTCATAACAAAGAAGCGCAAACAATTTAGTGAGCCATTTTGCTTTATTCCATCATAATCTCAAGCCAAAAAATAATGAATCTTTGGCTCCATTGCAAATGATAGAAATACTCTTCACGAACTTATGTTTCAATAATATTGATGTGATTTTATTTGGCTCCCATGATATCAAGGTGGTTGAATATCCCAGGTGAAGCTGCAGCTAACTATATGTCAAGCAGTGGTGTGATCTATCGTCATCCCCTCACTTTGGACATGGCTATAAAAAGATAAGCAATCATATTAAATTTGAGATAAACATAAAGTGAAAATCAAATCACTTTATTAAAACTGAAGAAACCCAAAATCAATGTTAACACATAAATTAAATAATCTCAAATGACGAAACACAATGATTTATTTTATTAAAAAGATAACAAAATGACGTGTTATTCTAGCTGCACAAGTCAAAAACATATCAACCAAATCTTCATTTCCTTTGGGTTTTAATATTTCCTAATCACGTTAACAAGCAAGACATGCAATGATAATAGTGTGTTTTGCAGCAGGACAGGGTTAAACTCACAGCAGAACTACAGCTGAAGCTTGGCGAGTATTGGAAGCTGGGAAACTAGATCAATCGCTTCATGAGGCATTCTTTTTTGGAATACCTGAATTCAAAGAATTAATTAGAAATTTGAAGATATACTTTTTAAAGTAGAATAAGATAAATATAACAATGAAAAGCAGTATAATTTGGGTTCATAAATAAAACAACTTTTCTTGTTGGAATCCCAAACACCTATCATGATATGCTTAATGGTACAAGTCTGCACCTAATGATGACGCCATGCTTCACTTGAATTACTTTTTTGCTGAACGATGTGCAGTTGAGATTTTAGGAAGGAACTTTTGATGAAAACAAGGCTACCAATGATAGTTAGAACCCCTGAAGCCTTGAGGGAGCCCATTCTTGAAGTAAAGGCCACTGGCCCACCACTTGCCTATTTAGAGGGCCTTCCACCAAGCTCAAATCGTCCTAGTCAAGCTAGGCTTGTTACTGTTTCTAATTGTCCGCATAATTTAGCTTTTGTAACCAAGGCACGAGTCAACAAATTAATTACACATAAACTTGATTACCTTATGTGTTCGGAAAAAGGCTTGCATGTTATTCCTTCCCTATATATACTAAATTTATAGTACCGTAACATTATAATCATGTAGGACAACATTGGTGTTTGAGTTCTACATCGAGGCTTCCAAACTGGTTGAATCACTTATGTGTGTAGAAGCTCTTCACTCTTGTACGTATGACCGTAAGAACTTTTCTCATTTTGAATTCATGTGTAATAGGGTGTTTCAGTTAGAGATGTTAATCAGAGCTACAATGACGCAAATCATTTGAAAGAAGATGATACTTAGCAAAATTTAAACGCTACAATGACGTAAATCAGAGCTTTTAAAATAGGCTAAAGGCTCATATGGGCCCCTCTACCTATTGCGTTTGATCAATTCAGATCTTGAACAGAAAAAGTCCAATTTACACCCTTAACTAGCAAAAAAGATTCAAAATTTCATTTTTTTGACGGGCGAACATTTGGTGACCGGCCACGTCACCCGCTAAGGTGCCCATTGTGCATCCTGCATGGACATGGGCGGAGCTAGGGGTGAGCCAATCTAGATCATGGCCCACCCCAAATTTTAAAAATGGCTTAAATTCTAAGGTAAAAAATTTCGTGTAAATTTTTTTCTAAAAATATTCTTTGTATCGGCCCAGTGTTCTGGCTCCGCCCCTGGGAATGGAAGCTAAAAGTTCAAATAAATCCTTGAACTAGTTTGAATTGTTCAAATCATCCCCTCACTTTAAAAAAGTTTCACCATTGGTAAGTTAAAACTAAGAATTAGAATAAAAATAATACGTAGTAAAAAATATATACAGTAGAAAATATAAATAAATATATATATATATATATATATATGATTTTTTGGTTAATTCAAAATACCTATTGGATCCTTTAGCCTTTAAAATACTAAATTGTAAGGAGCGAAATGGTGTTTGAAGAAAACCTCTAAAATGTTACAAAGCGGTAGGATATTTACTAGGAGCTTAATTATGTGGGCATGTATCCCATAGAATCAGAGCTGGGTGGATGAAATGGAAGAGTGCATCAGAGCTTCTATGCGATCGAGGTATGCCGACTAGACTGAACAGTAAATTTTACCGAACAACAATTAGGCTTGCATTAATGTATGGCGTAGAGTGTTGGACGGTGAAACAATGTCACATTCAAAAGATGAGCGTAGCAGAGATGTGTATGTTGCGTTGGATGTGTGAGCATACCAGAAAAGACCGTCTGAGGAATGAGATAATCAGGCAAAAGGTGAGAGTAGCACCTATAGAAGATAAGATGCAGGAGTCTTGCTTGCGAGGGTTTGGGCATGTGCGTAGAAGACCGAGTGAGGCACCTATTAGGTCACTTGAGGGGTGGGGAGAAGAGATAGAGAGGAGAGGGAGGAGAAGATCCAAACAGACTTGGATTAGAGAAATCAGAACTGATATGCGTCTTCTTGGGTTGGATGAGAGAAATGGCTTTAGAGAGGGCAAAATGGAGGACGCACATTCATGTGGACAATTGATCTCTTTTCTTTTTTTTTCCTCACTTTTTCTTTTATCGTTATCTTCTTTGTCTTTTTATGTTCTTACGTTATTTTTATCTTCTAGCCTTTTTTATGCTCTTTAATCTTTTAATCTTTTATCTTTCTTATATCGGGTATTAACCCTTAGTAGGACCAAAATTAGCCCAAAATTCAACAACAGGAGTACAATCCCTTTATTCCCAAAATAGGACTAATATATGTCCCTTCTTCCCATTCTACCTCCTTATAATTTCCAATAGATTTATTTTATCAATAACAAAATCATAGTTTTATTTATAATAAAAATATAAAAAATAATAAAATATTTATAAATTAATAATAAAAACGTGAAAAAAATAGAAAAATTTAAAATAAATATAAAAAATATTTAAGAAACTTTAAAAAAGTAAAAAATAAAATTAAATACCTAAAAACTATTTAAAAAATATGCAGGTCACTGCCAACGCCTCCTCTACCACCCACCACCACCAGATCCGGTCGTCGGGAAAAAATGCCATATTGTGTAAAAAATGCCACATTTTTCTGAAAATGTCATGAAGATGACATTTTTACTCTTTGAAAGTATCAAACTTTCTCTTCAAAATTGCCATCATGATGACATTTTCCCCCCAACTTGGCAATTTTTTCCGGTGACTGGAGGTGGCTGAGGTGGTTGTTAAGATCTGTTTATTTTTTATTTATTTTTTACAATTTTTATTTTAATTTTTTTATATTTTATAATGATTGTTTAAAAATACTATTAGGAAGGACAAAGGAAAGGGTAGAATAAAAATAGTTGGTCCTATTTTGGGAATACTATTAGGAAGGACAAAGTATTAGCCTTTTACTTAGTCCTATTTAGGTAAACCTCCCTTCTTATATTCTTATGTTATTACTATCTTATATTTATTTATCTTTATCTTATTCATTTTATCCTTTTTCTTCTTGTCTGTCTTCTCTTTTGGGCATCGATATCATAGATCGTTTCATGTTAGCCGACCCCAAAATCTTTTGGGATTAAGGCTTGAATGTTGTTGTTGTTGGCTGTATAAGTGATAGATACAAAGATCAAAAGAGGAAAATTGATGTCTATCGAGAACGTAAACGAAGAACACAAGTGAAACGATACGCGGTTAGGCACTTAGAGCAGCCTATCTCTCCCAAAATCCCAGCCCAAGTCTCAAGTTCTCCTCTTCAATTCTACTCCCCCCAACTCCTATTTATTCTTTTCCATTTGGGCTAGCCCAGTGCTATTTAATTCCGGGCCTAAACCCTTTTTATTCTACAATATTAAAAGACTGATATTATTCTTATTACTAGTACAAACTAGGTCTCTATCGTTACTCCCTCCTTTCACAACCACCTTGCCCACAAGGTGGGGAGTGAGATACAACCATGTCATTCAGCCACATCCTCGCACCTCTTCTTTCCCAATACCTCGCTGCTTGCAGAACCAGAAGCTTTCATACTTGTTCCTTTAAAATCACATCTGCAGTAGATATGATTTTAGTGCAATTTCATTTGTTGCATTAGCCTTCAAGCACTCACTAGCTACAAGTGTTTCCTTGTTTTCATGAGACTTCTCAAGGATTCTTACTTTTTTTTATTTTTTATTTTTTTTTGGGGGGGGGGGGGCTGGGGTCAGGGGGAGGGGGTTGGGGGGTCCCGGGAGAGGGAATACAAGAGCTCAAACTGCTCCCGGCGGGAATTGAACTCCTAACCTCCAGGATAACCGGGTGACTCCACTTCTCAAGGATTCTCACTTCTGAGACTATCAATGTGCTGGATGCAGATTTGATGTTACTCAAGTTACTCAACTCATTGTCTGCAACAAGCCCTATGCACACTTCTCCATTTATCATCCACTTTTCTGTACGGCAGTTAGTATCAATGATAGAATTATTTGTAATATCAGGTTTTGTCTTACAAAACTTCAACAGCCAACAGAAGTTGTGCACAACAGTGCTGCCATGCGATTTCTGATTCTCTAACCGCCAAAGTTCCAAGTCTGGGAAGTTTTCTTCTTTCCTTTCCCCTATAAGAGAGCCAATAGCTCTTGCAACAACAGAACGAGCTTTAGGGACCGGATCTTGAAGAACTTCAGGCAGAATAAGCATGAACATATTGGCTTCCCGATTCTTAAAAGTGATAACCGCACCAAACTCCTTTATTTTATGAACATTTCCTTCAACATTGCTACCAAGAGCAAACTCATCAGTCCATCTCAGTCCAGAATCAGAGGAGCCCCGAATTGCAGAAAGTACCAAATTGCAGTCTTCCACATCCAGAACCAAAAGCTGGTCAACTTTAAATCAGGCTTTGATAAGTACACAGAAATCTGAGGTTGAATTGTTGAAATATGAAACTGAAATTGAAGAAACGGGAAAGTAACGATACAGTTGAGGCAAGTTCGAGAGTGCCTCGTCTCTCCCAGTCCTAATCCCAAATCCAAAATCTGCCTAATTTCTTATTTCTCCCTCCCTTCTATTTATACTTACTTATGGGCCAACCCAAAACTAACTAATACCTGGCCCAGGACCCTTTAATACACCATCAGAATTATTTAATATACTTCTATTATTATTAGTATTATTATACTAATGGGTTCCTATCATATCTCCCCCCTTAGACAACCACCTTGTCCTCAAGGTGGGTGATAGGAACCGGCCTGGACTTTCAGCTTTATCTTCATCCTTGCGCCTCTTCCTTCCGAATACCTCCCTGCTTGCTGAGACAGAAGCTTCAGTACTTGTTCCTTCAAAATCACAAATGGTGCTGCTGCAGAAGATATGTTGAGTGCAGTTTTATTTGCTGCAGTAGCTTTCAAGCACTCACTAGCTACAAGTGTTTCACTGTTCTCATGAAACTCCTCAAGGATTATAACTTCTGAAACTATCAATGTGCTGGATGCAGATTTGAAGTTACTGAAGTTACTAAATTCATTGTCTGCAACAAGCCCTATGCAAAGTTCTCCATTTTTCATCCATTTTTCTGTACGGCAGCTAGTATCAATGACAAAATTACTTGTAATAGCTGGATTGGTCTCATAAAACCTCAACAACTGACAGCAGTTGTGCACAACAGTGCTGTCATACGATTTCAGATTCTCTAACCGCCAAAGTCCCAAATCCGTGAATTTTTCTTCTTTCCTTTCCCATATAGGCTGAAACCCCAGTGATGGCGTTAACTGATTAGCAAAACCAAGTCCAGAACCCCAGTGTTTGTTCTCCGGCTCCCAGACCATAAGGCTTTCAATATTGTTCCCTCCAACGACCTTCAGCCTACCCTCTGTGATCCCAATAGCTAAGAGTTGTTGAATAGGTTCAACAACCAGGAGAGATGCAATGGTTTCATACCCGGCAGCAACTACTGCTTTCTTCTCTTTATCAGTATGCAATTCTAATAGTGGCATACTAGCAATCAACTCCTTAGAACCTTCACCATTAGGAACTCCAGAAACAACCTGCTCCGGTTTCAGCGACATAGTTGTAGGTGATAATGCACCAGTTCCTGTCCTTACTAGAAAGAGTTGTGACTGATCCATTATGGGATTGGTCTCAGTTATAGATACAAAAACATCAGGCCTAGCATTCATCACACTAATATCGGATTTCCACTCAAGTGCTTGAATACTCTCTGTTTTTTGTGATTTTTACCTGATCCTCCAATTGCTTTGACAATTGCTCTTTCATTTTTCTCGAATGAATTCCATTTTTCTCCAGCTCAGGCAGATTTGAAGCAACCAAGGATGATAAGCTGTGAGAAGCAGCTAGCAAAGACCCCTGCGAACTGGAATTATATGATAGCGTTGAACTCTGGGACAGATGAAACGATGTCAGCGACTGAGACGACATATGAGAACTGGAAACTACTCTTCGCGATGAAACTGAATCCGTTTGCGATGACGTCTGCGAACAGAGAGAGGAAGTTCGCGATTGCGAATTGAGAGAGGAAGTTCGCGACTGCGAAGATTTCTGCGAACTGACGAGGTAGCCGGCTTGCGACGAGGATCTATTAGGAACAATTTGCGACAGAGAACTGGAACGATTAGGAGCGACTGGTGAAGACACCTTCGATTTCGAACTGAGAGAGGAAGTTCGTGACTGAACCTGCGCACTTCACGATGCACAGGAAGACTTAGTTCGCAACAGCGAACTGTTAGAAACCGGACAATGCGATAATCGTGAATGCTGTGATTGTGATCTTCCTCTGGGTCGAAACTGTTCGCTCATCGCTGTTATGTTTGCCACCATTTTTGCCGTCATATTTGTCAGCATGTTTGTCGTTTTCTCCATTAATGCTTTCATCTCCTCCATAATTCGTTCTATATTGTCAAAACTCTTTTCCATTCGAGGCGTCATACATACTTCCTCCATCGTTCCGGACTGTTGTTGTTCTGAGATGATGGATGATTCCGATTCCTTGCCTCCAAGAAGCGAATTCTCTGATACCATTGATAAGTACACATAAATCTGAGGTTGAATACTTGAATTGTTGAAATATGAAACTGAAATTGAAGAAACGGGAAAGTAACAATAGAGTTGAGGCAAGTTCGAGAGTGCCTCGTCTCTCCCAGTCCTAATCCCAAATCCAAAATCTGCCTAATTTCTTATTTCTCCCTCCCTTCTATTTATACTTACTTATGGGCCAGCCCAAAACTAACTAATACCTGGCCCAGGACCTTTAATACACTATCACAATTATTTAATATACTTCTATTATTATTAGTATTATTATACTAATGGGTTCCTATCAGGCTTCAAGATAGACTTCATTAACCTAGCCTCATCAATAAGATCAATGGTTGTGTGGAAGATATCTATCAAGATTGTATCTAGCTGAAAGTTGCACAGCAGCTGTTATGGCCTCATAAGTATATTTACACTTATGAAACTCATATTTCTCACGCAGCCCTGGCAGTATCTGGACAGTATCCTCCTGGCTCGGTTCATGAACCCTTATAGGCTGAAACCCCAGCGCCTTAACAGATTAGCAAAACCAAGGCCAGAACCCTTGCTTCCTCTCCCATCCAGGCCAGAATCAATTAAAGTATGGACCTCATCAATAATAAGAATGATATTTCCATACGTCTTAACCTCCCTAAGTAAGTCACACGAGCCTCCAGTTCACAAGAGAAGTACAAAAATTTCTTCATAACAGTAAGATGCCCATATAACTTCCTCTTTGGTGCAACATGACAACTACAGTTTAATTTAGAGTCCGGAACTAATCCCAACTCAGACTAGAGAGGAAAACCTTGCACGCCATTGTAGTACCGAACAACACAACCGTGCTTTTCAATCTTCATTATCCATCCTTGTTGGATTAGTCCCTCAGTAGCATCACACACACTGATGATTCCCTGGAGCTTCTTTCCATCATTCCCCTCTGCTATTTTCTCATTTTTCTCTAGACGGCTAGTCCTGACACCAAAATATAGCGAATTTATTATCACAGTGCTCCATAATTGTTCCACTTCCTGAGGTATTGCAACATCATCTACTCGCTGATGCATTGTGGTAGCATCATGTTTAATGTCTGATTGTATTCCATTTCTAGGGCACTGATGAGTGTTGCATCTCTTGTTTCACTATTAATTCCATTTGTAGAAACCATATACGAGGTAGCTTGAGATTCATCTGCTTGTCCAGTGACCATAAGGATCTCCTTCTGAACAGATTTTGTAAAGCAAGTTGCACGTACATCAGAACCTTGAGTTCTTTCCACGTGAAGCTCAGTAGTAATCAGACTTCCCACACTAGTATGTGTAGTTGAATATGCCATACCTATAGAGGTTTCAGAAACCACTTGGTTCTCCAATTCACAATCAGCAAATTTATCATCATCCGATTCATTTTCCATGGTACTCGAGATTTGAGTCACAGCAGAAAATTGCTCCTCGCATCCATTGTGACAATCACTGAACGTGTCTTCAAAGGAAGGTCGCAGCAGGTTAATAGACTCCTGCTGCGAGCATGGAGAGTCTGAGTGTGAAACAAGTTGTGAAGGGGAAGAATAGGCGAGAGCACTGTGTGACGCCGTTTGAGATGCCCTCTGCGAACTGTTAGAAGCCTCTCGCGATGACAATTGGTGATATACGAGTAGAGGCGGCAAACTGGAACTCTGAGACGCTGCTAGAGACTCAGAAGAACCCTGCGAACTCAGAACAACTGATAGCAACGAAGTTGTCGATTGCGATCTGGGAGCTTCTTCGTGCGACACAGTTTGCGCACTTAGCGACGAAGATGGAACCTGGTTTCCAGAATTCCGATGGTGTCTAGGAGGGCTCCTCACTCGGTCTCTATGTCTCCGGCGACGCTGTTTACGCAAATGATTTATCATCTCGTCCCACATCGTTTCCATCTTCGTAACATTTTGGGTGCTATTATTCATCTGCGCACGCGTAACAGTCCTCCAGCGATAGTTGCTCTGATACCAATGATAGATACCAAGATCGAAAGAGGAAAATTGATGTCTATTGAGAACGTAAATGAAGCATAGAAGTGAAACGATACACGGTTAGGCACTTAGTCTCTCCCAAAATCCCAGCTTAAGTCTCAAGTTCTCCTCCCCCAACTCCTAGTTATTCTTTCCCATTTGGGCTAGCCCAACGCTATTTAATTCCTGGCCTAAACCCCTTTTATTCTACAATATTAAAAGACCAATATTATTCTTATTGCTAATACAATCTAGGTCTCTATCAAATAGACAGCCAGAATGCCAATGCGATCAGTTTTAAGTATCCTTTAGCCAGGAAACTGCACAGTATAAGACAGCAAGAGTGGCAATGCAATCAGTTTGAAGTATCCTTTAGGCAGGAAACTGGCCTGCATATCAGCATGATATGGCTCTTACAAGTTACAATTTACAATGTAACAGTACAAGAAAATGGAGAACTGATGGTAATGTTACCGAGTCTACTCTTTTACAATTATCGTAAAGAACTTATTGGTAAGACATTTGAGAAATTCTTTATCCAGGAAACCAAGACCAGATTCATGCTCTCAAGCTCCTCATTCCAACCTCACACCATGAGCAGAATTACAACTTAAATGGAAGACCATTGGAGAGGCGTACCTCAAACTGGTCCAAAGGGCTGCATACTCCTAGTCTCCAAAGAGCCTAAGATGCTAGATTCACTTACACTTTATTCTCACCTTCAATATGCGGAAAAGATATTAATTTCAGTGGAAGTAGTTATATTCTTAAAAATGTAATAAGGTGGCAATTCATTCTATACCAGTTGAATTGTGAAAACATCTCTCCCTAGCAGAAACGGAAAGTCAAGTAATCACATCACCACCAACTTTGCACTTTTGACAGGTTACTTGTAGTTAAACATATTGGCCAGCTGGATTTTAGAATGGAGTTCCCTGGCTTCATGCATAAAGCCAGAATGCTGGAGACCATCAATAACTGCTCGCACATCTGATTTCAGAATCTTCAAACCATTTCTGATACCAGAAAGCAATAGGTCAGATGCTGCATGAAACCTCCTAGCCTTGCAAAGACCATTCACCAGTGTGGAATAGGTAAAACAATCTTTCTCTTGCATTAATCTAAACAGCCTCAACGCATGATCGACCTCACCAACTTTACATAACCCGCCAATACAGCAATTGAAAGCAACAATGCTTGAAGCAAAACCCATCAGCTTTATGCAGTTCAAATGTCGAATTGCCTCTGTCATATTTCCAGCCTTGCATAGCCCATTTATTAAAATGGTGTGCGTGTATATGTCACAATCAAACCCTCTTCTTTCTGCATCATCCGCCAACATATAGGCATCATCCAGTTTCCCTTCCTTACAGTAGAAATAAATAAGGGTGTTGTAAGCCACAGAATCAAACTCAATGTCATTCATGATCATATTTCTGACACAATCATATGCATCCTCCATCCTGCCAGCCTTAATTAAAAAGCTAATGACTGTACAGTATGCAAATGAATCAAATATAAATCCTTTCCTTCTCATCTCTTCCAATATCTGAAGCCCTTCTTCAAACTGTCTTGACCTAAAACAGCATTTCATTACTGTAGTATAAGTAATGGCATTTGGGTTATAACCTCTATGCACTAGTTCAATGAGAAGCTTTATTGCATGTACCCATCGTCCTAAATTGCAAAGCCCGTGAATAAGAATGTTGTATGTTACCAACTGTGGAATAAACCCACAATCCTTCAAGTTCCTAAATAACATTAGAGCCTTCTTTGTATGCCCACTACAGCAAAGACCAGTAAATAAAATATTAAAAGTGACTGGGCAAGGGGGTATATCTCCCAAGAAAATGTCCTGGAAGAACTTGAAGGCTTCATCTGCTTTTCCCAATCTAAACAAACAATGCATTAATGTATTATAAGTCCAGGTATCAGGAAGAACACTCAACTGGAGCATTTCTTGCAACAGATCAAGGCATCTACACAACAAGCCATGTCTGGTTGCACCTGCTATCAAAGAGTTATACGTAATAACATCTGGCTTAATCCCAGCTTCTTTCATCCTATGAATAAAAGAATAACTTGCATCAATGCTTATAAAATGACAGTATGCTGTGATCAGCGTATTGTAAGTCACTACATCTGCTGTCACTCCTATTTTTACACCATCAAGTATCACTGTTTCTGCTTCTTCTAGTTGTTTGGCTTTACAAAGAGATGCTACAGTTATATTCAATAGCTTTGTCGATAATCTACCTTTAATTCTAAACATCTATTTCAAATGTCCAACCTGTAAACCTTTCACTTAAAGTACAACAAAATCAATTAACCAAAATCAATCGAAAGATGAAATTCCTTCCTTCATCCAAAGCCTAAAATGGATAGGGGAGCGAGGATGCCTGACAATGTCACAGAGCAGTCGTCGGTGCGGGTAGTTAATTGCCTGCGGGAGGTCGCGAGCAGTTGCTAACTGGTATGGAGAAGGGAGGAGCGTGTAGATGACTGAGAGCAACTAACACGACTAACAGTCATCGCTGGCGGTGGGGTTTGGCTGGGTGTAGCCTGTAATGGCTAGCCAGCGGCAAGACGCCGCCCACTAGTCTCCGGTGCTGATGATGGTCGACGGTGCTGGCGACGAGGCTGCAGCTGGTTTCCACTGATCGGAACTGTGGGGGAGTGAAATTGATGACGATTGAGGAATTTGTATTTGACCCATTGAAAGCTAGGCAGCTAGGTAAGCAACCATGATAGGGTACAACAAGTTCTTCTTGTTGTACACAAAATGTTGGTCACAGACAATTGGTACGGAATTGTTTATGGGCACAGACAAAAGTTGTCTGTGTAGACAGATAACTTTTGTCTGTGTACACAGGCATTTATTTTTTTATAAAAAGTAGACCGACAACCGCCTCACAGTGACATTAACTTGCAAATCAATCAATATATGTGTAGTGCCTGTGCACAGACAATATTTTCATGTTACACAGACAATTAATGTCCGTGTGCACAAACAATAATTACCACACAGACAGTAGTTGTGCGTTTCACAGACAATAGTTGTTCGTGTGATCAACTTTAGTTGTCGGTGTGATCTATTTTAATTGTCTCGGTAAACAAAAAAAATTAATTGTCTATATACATCCAAATAAATGATGTAGTTGTATGTGTAATCAATTTACATGTAATCTGAAAAAAATTAGAAAAATAATAAAAACATATGAAATAAGATAAATAAGCTGATTTTGTCCAAATAATGAAAAAATTGGATATAAAAAGGTAGAGAAAAAAGGATGAAGAAGGAAAGAGGAGGATGAAGAATATAAAGAAGAAAGAGAGAAGGGGGAGAGGGGGAAGAGGGAAGGGAGAGAGAACCGAGAGAAAAGAGGGGAGGGGAAAGTGAGTTTTTTTTTTGCTTTTATACCGGTACACTAAGCAAATTCGGATCATGTTGTAAGGCCCGTAAGGGGACCTGGAAGAGACCAGACCGGGTCATGGGTCAGTCCGGACCCGACGGGTCAACCCGGTAAAAACCGGAAAACCCGATCAACATATAAAATGTCATTTTGTTCTAATATATAAATATTTTAACAAAATATAAAATGTATTTTAAATTAGATGGACAATAAATATGAATATGATGCTTATTGAAAAAGAAAATATTATATACGAAGTATATACTTTCACTTATAATAATAGCAATAGTGCGTACTATGTTAAATTTTTATAATGATTATCTCTTGATATCTAATAGCAAAAGAATTTTAGTGGAAACTTTCCCACTAAAAGATGTCTACATCAAAGTGGAAAATTCCACTTTTGGTCACATGACTATTATACCACTTCCACATTTAGCCCCTTACTTTCAGATTGTCCACATTTAGTCCGTGACCATTATCCCCTCACCACCCCTCGTCCTTCCAGAGTTCCAGCCAAAATTCAGGCAAATTTAGCCCACTTATCAGCCTCAGAATCAGTCTTTACATTAAATTTTATATAAGGTTGGGTTTTTCATATCAGTCTTTGCATTAAATTTGATTTTTCATACCTAAAATATGCATTAAATTTGTCGAAATTTGGGCCGGAAGGATGAGGGTTGGTGAGGAAATAATGGTCACGGACTAAATGTGGACAATCTAAAAGTAAGTGACTAAATGTGTAAGTGGTATAATAGTCATGGGACCAAAAGTGGAATTTTTTCACATCAAAGAGAATAGATCACATTGGTTTTAAAAAGTCAATTCATTGTGAAAGAGAATCTTGGTATAAAAAATGGAATATAAAGAATTTAAAAGCAACAGAGTTTTAGTGGAAACTTTCTCACTAAAAAATGGAATATAAAGAATTTAAAAGCAACAGAATTTTAGTGGAAACTTTTTCACTAAAAAATGTCTACATCAAAGAGTAAGGGCTTGTTTACTAACAGAGAGATTTTCCAGTTTTATAGAAATCTGGAAAACGGGAAAACAGAAAACAAAAAACGTGTTTACAAAAAAAAAAATCTTGAAAACTGGAAAATAGAAAACAGAAAACGTGTTTACCAAATCGTTTTCCAAAACAAAAAATGAGACATGTCTCTATTTTCCTTAAAGAATTGGAGAAGTGACTTTTACTGCTTTTCCAAATTTGGAAAACACAGATGATGAAGTGCCGTTGCAATAAATTTGCATACTTACGCCTAGTGTTGGATCCGGTCCTGCTCCGGTGTTTGTTCCAATCCGATCCGGTCAACGATCCGATGGTCCCTATCTGGTCCGACCAACAACCCGGCGGTCCTTTCCGGTCATTGACCCGACGGTTCATGTCCGATCCGGTCAACGGTCGAGCAAACCCGGTCCAATCCGATCGATGACCCAACTGTCCCGATCTGGTCGACGAACCGGCGGTCCCTGTCTGGTCTGGTCCACGACCCGACGGTCCTTATCCGGTCCCTGTCAGGCCCCGTTGATGACCCGATGATCTCTGTCATGTCGGATCCATGCCCAGACGGTACTTGTTTGGTCTAATCGACTGCTGAGCAGTCTCGGTCGGATTCGGTCTAGTCAACGACTTGATGGTCCCCGTCTGGTCCAGTCAATGACCCGACAGTCCTCATCCTATTTGGCAAATGAACCGACGGACTGTGTTCGGTCAGAGAACCAGGGGTGAAAAAATTTGTATGAACATGTTTTCATATTTAAAATAGAAAACTAAAAAATGAAAACAAAAAAATTGGAGATAGAAAAACTGGAAAATGAAAACAGAAAATTGGAGAACGAAAAACAGAATTAGAAAACTCGAAAATAGTAAACAGGTCCTAATATTCTTTGATTTCCAAAATCTTGGAAGTCAGCATACGTCATGCCCGTAGATTGATTTCCAAAATTTGAGTTAAATTTCCACCTCCAAACCGTTGTAGGAGTGATAAAATGTCTCATTTTAGGATCGGAGAGTGGAACCCGGCACCCGGTAAGATCAATCAGACACTGTTTTTTCTTAATCATCAGCCAAAAAACTAGCAAGACGTGCAAAAAAGATTTTGATGAGGAATGAGGGTTTTTAAGGTTGCTTGTACATTTCATCTATGCTTATGGAAGTTCAACAATAGACTAAAAGATATCAATCTTTAACCTATGTAAACCCCCCCAATCCATCATTTGTCCAACATCAATTCATTTGTTCATTACTAGTTTTTACATTTAATATTGCTGCTTTTTGGTATTCTCGAGGTGTGAAAGGGCACTCTTGCAACCATTGGAGTTTACATAATATTAGTTTTTGTATTATGAAGTTCTTTAATTTTACAAGCAATAAAATCTTGATTAATATGAGGGTTAGAGGCTAGGTCCCTTAATGCAAGTCATTAAGTCAATGACTTGAAATCTCTTAACTCAAGTCATTATTAAGGATGTTTTTACTTGGACTGTAATTTGCTGGTCTGGTCTGGTCTGGTTTGAACTGGTCTGATCTGGTCTGGTTTCTTTGTATTTTTATAACTATCCAAGTCTGGTCTGAACTGGTTTGGTCTGGTCTGGGAGGAATTACAGTCCAAGTAAAAACATCCTTAACTATAAAGATATGTTATGCAACATAAGAGTATAATTTATTATTATTGATATGAGGTAACTAACGTTGAAATATTAATCACACACTAGAAGAGTAATTCACATTTTACTCTCCTCTGAACTCCATATATACAACTATGATGCATAACATCTAGATATTTATATGATCAACAAAATTTGCATTATAGATCGCGCTCCAGAGGAATAAACATACAAGTATTTTTGATAGAAATATACGAGATCTTGTATAGTACGCGTGTGATGTCTTAATATTCAATGAGATTTTCTCTAGTTAGATGATGTGAGCCATAATGAAACTCACACATAGTAAAAACCACATTCTAATTCTAATTGTATAAACCAGAGTCGAGAATATATTAACACTATCGTACTCAAAAGAATTAGTTAAGAAGTTATATTGAATACTAGCAAGTGTTTAGGTGAACCCTGATATCTTCATAATTTTATCATATTATTAAAAAAAATCCATACAACTTATATCATTTCTATAATCCCCAAATTTATAAAATAACTTTTGTAAATGGATCCACCTAATATTTGACCGGCATTTAATTTATTACTATAATCGTTACTTGTATAGTTACACATTTAGTCAAATCAGTTACAAAATTTAACTTTGGCACAAATTAAAAGTCATGCCAAATCAAGTAAGGACCTTGGAACATATTTTATGACTAGAGGGCTAAAATTAAACAAAAAGCGACATTAATTTGAAATTAATTTTGTCGCGAATTGGTTTATGCCAAATGTTGGCGCGATCATGTCTTTCTGAATTGGTAAGTCAGGCATGAGCATTTTTATGCCAAATATTTGTGTCAAAAGCGAAAATTGTTTGTCGTGAATCGGTAAATGTAAAACATAATGTGTGTTAGGCATGTCTACATGCTTTATTGTTAAACAGAAACTCTAAAGTCGGCTTAGGAGTAAAATGAAAATAGTGCAATTAAAATGGATGAAACCTCAAAATAGTTTTGCATGGCATTGACTTATCATGGCATAAAAACATTTAAGACTAGAGAATATTGTGCATTTCAATTTTGCAAATAATAATGCACCTTCGTAAGATAGGGTTTATTTTAATAAGTCGTTGAATTCTCGCATATTGCAATATTCGAATATTGCTTGTACAACTATGCACATTACAAGTATTCATACATTGCTTTCTTGTGAATGGTCCTCGTAAGTTTCATAACCCATGAGAATCATAGATATTCTAAAATAATAGCATCACTATAGAATTTCCAAAGTTTCATTAAGATGCATGACAAAGTGCAATAATTTCCAAAAGTCTAACTAAGAATTTATAATTAATATCAATGGTAATAACATTTTCTAAAAGTCTAATTAAAGGTTTGCAATATCAATGAAAACACTTTCACAAACGAATGAATTGACCTTTTTGACCGCTAGAGTCATTAGCTGATTAACACTCTTAATCGATTCTGGAGGTAATTGTGTAGTAGGATCCGGATCAACTAAAATATGGGATGAGATTGTCAAAAGAGACCCACTAGAGGTATCTCCTAGTTCTCCATCGGGTAGTATAATGATTCCAGAAGGAAGAAGTGATACAAATTTAGGATTTCCACTCATGAAAACGTCTTTTATTGTTGTCATGTCAATCGAAGAGTGAATGATAAAGGAACCTGTGGAGTTGGTGGTACTTTCTTGC